GTGTGTGTGTGTGTGTGTGTGTGTGTGTTTGTGAGTGTGTGTGTGTGTGTGCTACGGGACGAACCTGGGCACTCGGTTCCGTTGTATTCAGTTCGACTGAATGGAATGTCTGAGGGCACGCTCACACTAGGTACCAAAACCGTAAAACTCCCAAAAAAATGTCCACACGGCTGGTCACACACAATGGTTCCGACCCCAAACACCCCATTCGCAAACCCATTTGTCAGCGGCCTACCTGGCCGCGGGTTTGAGGAATTTGCGGTAACCTCCAGAGGTTACCGCAAAATCCTTATTCTTTTTTTTTTTTTTTTTCGTAAATGAATGCAAAGTTGAAAAGGGAACATGTACGTTCTATATTTGGGGTTACTTCTGTGTGACTGGAAACCCCAAACAGCAGCACCCTGATGGCACGGTAGCGACCGTGTCTTTAGCGAAATGGGAACGCGGTGTGAACGCAGTGTGACCTGAAACGTCCCAAATACCCCAATTCGGCCCAACCCATTTTTGCAATTTATACGGATTTGCCACCGCAGTGTGAGCGTGCCCTGAATGTGGTCAGATCCCCTGCCGCTAACCCGTTTTAGTAAATTGAGTTGCGGGCTGCATTTATCAGTAGCAGTTTTTCCTGACAGACCAAAACTGAAACGGCACTTTTTCTGAAGCTACACCTACTTCGATTCATCTAGTTCCATCTGGGTTCGAACTCAGGGCATACTCACACGGGGACCAAAAGTCTCAAGAATTTGAGGCGTTTGGTTGGGTTTTTTTGAGGCATTTGGTCCCCGTGTGGTCACACGGACGCACTTCGTCCAGCAAGGACGAAGTCGCGACCCTGACATATTGCACTCAGGGCGAGTGCGCCCGGTTTGTTTTTTTTTTGCTTTTTTTTTTTTTTTGCCTTTTTTTTTTTCAAAAATAGAGAATTACGAGGCCGGGGTCCTCACAGTCTACTCGGTATTACCGGGCAAGAAAAAAAAAGCCCGCGGGGATCACAGTCTGCCCGGTATAAACTTCTGGGAGCTTCACCCAGTTTCGCTTACGGGGCAAGAAAAAAAATGGTTAATTGCAAAAATATTGCTTTTTCCAAGTTTGGCAGCAAAAATGTTGCCCGTTCGAAGTTTCCTTTGCAAAAATAGAGGTTTCGTTGCAACTTTACGGGAAACCCGTAGTTTGCCAGCAAAAATGTAGCGTTTTGCCAAGTTTCACAGCAAAGAACCCGTAGGCCTCTGGCCTCAGGTACTCAGGCACTCAGCGTTCGGGCCTCAGGTACTTTTTTTTTTCTTTTTTTGTGTGCGGGCATGGCCACGCCCGTGATGCCTCGGCCACGGCGGACATTTAAAAGAAAATCGGCCGTGGCCACGCCCGTGATGCCCCCCAGCCTCGGCGGACATTTGAAAGAAAACAAAAGCAGCTCTACGCGTGGCTGTGCCACGGCCGCTATGCCACGGCCACGCCCGCAAAAAAAAAAAAAAAAAAAAAAAAAAAAAAAAAAAAAAAACGCTGCCCCTSAGTACCTGAGGCCCGAACGCTGAGTGCCTGAGTACCTGAGGCCAGAGTCCTACGGGTCCCTTGCTGCGAAACTTGGCAAAACGCGACATTTTTGCTGGCAAACTACGGGTTCCCTGTAAAGTTGCAGCGAAACCTCTATTTTTGCAAAGGAAACTTCGAACGGACAACATTTTTGCTGCCAAACTTGGAAAAAGCAATATTTTTGCAATTTTTGCAAAGGAAACTTCGAACGGACAACATTTTTGCTGCCAAACTTGGAAAAAGCAATATTTTTGCAATTAACCCAAAAAAAAACCCCGCGGGGACCAACCCCCGCCGGGCGCACAGAACCGTGTACAGCCCGAAATAACTGTGACTCTGCAGAAAAGGCTTTAGAGCCTCTTAACACGAGGCATCTGGACTAAATGTCCTAGTTAACTGTTGTCTCTCCCTCCTAACCCCCTTTCCCCTTTCTGCTGCTCTCCTACTGCGGATATATAACCTAGCGACCAGGTACTAAGTGCGCCCGGTCACACGGGCGAGGACCGAACAAAAAGATCGATTTTTTTTTTTTTTTTTTTTTTTTTTTTTTTTTTTTGGACGCCAGTATAACGCCAGTATAACCTAGCGTAAATGTTTCTAATCCAAAAACAAAAAAAACAAAACAAAAAAAAAGTTTCTGACCAACGAGCCCAGCTCAGTTGGTACACCCATGAACTGTTGAAGTACAGACCCATGTTCAAATCCTGCTTTGGACCTTGATGAATGGAATAAGGGCGTTGCCGCACTGCACACGAAACGAAAAACGAAACGAATGTATCTTCCCCCAGAAAATGGCCAGGTTCATCGGTTTGCTATAAATAGTAACGAGTGTATTTTGCCACCTTTCGTGGGCAGACGCACTCGTTTCGTTTTCGTTTCGTGTGCCGTGCGGCGAGACCCTAAATCATTCTGAATAATTACCAAGGGGCGGTCCGATCAATGAAGATATCCCAAGGCTGTCGCCCTTTTTCAAAAAAAAAAAATAATAAATGTTTCTGGTCGCACGTCCCATTAGCAGTGGGATAGGAGTGTGGCCAATCCAGTGTGACAGTGAGTGGCAGCGGGCTCACAGGTTCATTACGAATTTCTGGGCTGAGAAAACAGGAGAAAGGCAGAAGAAAAAAAAAGAAACAGACATAAATTATGAGGTCGAGTTTTGCAGAAACTGACATAAATTGTGCCGGAGCTCTGAATCTTTGACGTTGTTTAACCCACACAATGAGCGACATTTGTTTTCCTCTTCAGCAAAATTCATAACTCACATCGGTGAAAATGATTGAGAATTTGAGAGAAGAACATAGTGTAGTTAAAAAAAAAAAAAAAAAAAAAAAAATGATTGAGTAACGCGTGAGGTTGCTGTGCCGAAGGAGTATGAGAGCATACTCACAAGAGCACTTTCCTGAACGTACCTGACCTGAACTACGACCGCAATCAAATGCATCGGAATGCAATCACGACCAGAAGTAAATGAAAAAAGAGTCCTACAATGTAGTGTGAGTATGCCCTGAACACTTCGCAAGTATACATGCGGTACGCTCCGCGGTATGCACTCACGACAGAACGCAAAAGACCAATGATTCAGTAGATCTTCGTGTTTTTTTTTTTTTTTTTTTTTTTTTTTTTTTTTATCCAAATTTTTTATAATTTTTTTATAATAAGGGGATAAAAAACCCCACAAAAAAGAACAAGAGAAACACTCCCAAAAAAAAAAAAAAAAAAAAATAGAATCACGAGCAAACAAACGATGATTCCGTGAAAGCAAAGATACCGTATAATCTGATGTGAAATTTCATCCAAGAGTCAAAAAAAGAAACTCTGAGTCAAAGAAAGAAACTACGTTGCCTGAACGACGGTCAGGATTGTTGATCGGATTTTCTGAAGTCGGATGCCTCTCATACGGCCACTGCCTTAGATATCAGGACACCGAGGACAGAGATAAATTGGCCGCTCTGAAGGTATCTACACTGCGTAGACCGCCAGGTTCACGTCATGCACCTGACCACCTACTCAAAACATGTTTTTTTTATTTTTTTTCTACAAAACACTCTTCTAGGAAACCCATCGGTGTCTTCTTCCGTCCCGACACCCAATCGACAATTTCCTGTTACGAATTGAGAACTCAGCCAAGCGCAGCCTCCCCTCTCTCTCTCTCTCTCTCTCTCTCTCTCGCGCGCGCGCGCGCGCGCGCGCACACAAACACACAATGCCGGAAATTTCGGCGGAAAGAGAGCTATTTCCGGCCCCCCAAAACGTCAGGATATGAAGCATACCTCACGCGTATGCCCTTGGACGGACCGCCAGAGGCACCGAGGTAGCAGTGTCGGGGGCCACTGTAGACTAAGCGGCTGCGATCAGGCTTACGTAAAATTCCCTTACTTCGGCAAATCGCAAACCACGCAGTGATGGCGGACGATCGGGGGGTTGGTAACGTTGGTGATATGGAGGGAGAGAGATTTCGGGTGTTCAGGGCAGAAAGAGACGCTCATTTGAGGGTCATAGTTGCCGTCCAACAGAGCGAGGTCGTTGCCTTGGCCGCCGTTTGCTGTGTTCCCACCGTCGGCGATGGTGGTGTGACAGATGCGCGCATCCATCAACACGCTGAGTGCCAGCCCGCCGCCCTCGGCGCCGGTCGCCACGTTCTTCGTGAACTTGCACCGCGAGACAAACACCTTCGCCGCCGGAGCCTGCGACATTCCTGCTACGTACATGCCGCCGCCACTCCTCCCAGCCGTGTTCGAGTCGAAGGTCACGTGATCGAGGACGTAACCATCCGTGTTTGCCGGCTGCGCATGGATGTACACGCCCCCGCCATCCTCGGTCGCCTTGTTGGACTTGAACGTGGTCTTTTCGAGTCGTCCTCGGCCCGAAGAGGTGACCAGAAACCCGCCGCCAACACCTGTCGCGCTGTTCCCCTCGAACAAACAGCCGTGGATGTGCCACGTGGAAGCTCCCAGTCCGACCACCACCCCGCCTGCCACGTTGTTCTTAATTTCGACTCCTTTCAAATGCAAGTTGCACTTGCCAGTGTAAGCCGGCATATCAGCAGCGTTGCGCAATAACAAATTCTTAATGGTCACAGAGCATTCAGGAGCCGCCCCGTAAGCCGCGAAAATGCCGAACTTGCCCCCTCCATCAATGACGCACTTGCGGCCGCCGCACCCTCCCTTGATGGTTATAGAGTGGAGAATAGTCGGCAGAGCTTTGGTGAGAACGATGTCGGCCGTGATGGTGGCCGTAACGCCAGCCGTCCCGTTGATGGCAGCTGCTAGCTGCTGCTCATTTGCTATGCTGAGAGCGGACGCCTTCTGGCAGCCATAGCCAAGGAGGACAGCAGCAGCCAGCACCACCTGCACCGCGAGCTGAAGCGAAAAACGCTCGGCAGGAACCACCATGAACCGCCGTCTCGCCATCATAACGTAGCCCTGGCCACAGAGAGAGAGAGAGAGAGAGAGAGAGAGAGAGAGAGAGAGAGAGAGAGAGAGAGAGAGAGAGAGAGAGAGAGAGAGAGAGAGAGAGA